CAAGACACTTGACTGGAAGTATAAATGAGAACGTTTACGAAAATCAAACCACAAAAACCTTGCCTTCTACACTTCGAAGACCACGTGTTTAAAGAAGAGCGATTCTACATCGTATTAATGCTATTAACGACTGGGATACCAGAGCAGATAAAGACCAAACACTCTGCAACTTTGAGCTGCACGACAAATTGCAGAGGGTGTCTGTGAGCACCAGCATGTGGGGTCAAAGGAAATGACATCAGCACTTGGGAAAGAAGTCACAGAGGTGCTGACTGATAACCCGGCCAGGCACAGGGTGAACATTTAGTCACCACTCGAGGGTTCCCAAGGCATAGATGCAAACTGAAAGGGTTTCTGGGAATTAGGGCACTTAGTGCGGTCCTCTGAATAGTCCCGACCCTCCCTCCAGGACTAGTCAGAAGCACAACTAGAGTCTGATATGAAGGATGGAGGACAGGGCCATGCCTTACCAACTTCTCTTCCCAGCTGCTCTCCGGCTCTTCAGAGACCCCATTATTGCCCTCCTGGGACCAGCACAGCCTCCATCTGATGTCACCAGCTGGGGTCTGGGTGAGGGAGAGCCACCGGAACACGCCGTCAATTTCTTCTGGACCACGTGGCTATTTATGGTCCCTTTTGCTTGTAGGCAGTGAAGGGCTTTGTCACTGCAGTGACGGGATAGATGCTCCAGACCTCAGCTGTCATTGACACATGTGGGCTGTGCCAGCTATGGGACACCTGGCCATCTTCCACATCTGCACTTCTTTCTCCGCCGGTTAAGGACGTGGTGGGTGGGGCGTGGGAACTGCCTGGCCTGTAAGGACCCACCTGGCCAAATGTGCACCTTATTCCCACATCTTCGTTCTAGCTCCCTTTGCCCCCCTATTTTGAATCTAGAAAGCAGCTTTGAGCTTTATGGAAATCTGGGCAGCCGATTCGCGTTCTCTGTTTCCTTGGCCCCATCCTAACCCTACCTTCATTCCCAAAAGGTCCTGGGGAGACCTATTTGCTAAACACAAGGCCATCTGGTCCCCAGGATTTTAATTATGTCCCTAAGGGAACAGCAGCCCCGCAGACACAGACGGATATCCCTCCGCTCCACGTTCCTAAGGGGCAGACGGTAAGACACTTTCTCTCGCATTTGAGGACTTAGTACCTAGTGGAGAGGGGAGTTATTTAATTAAAACAGAGCAAAATTTTTTCACTCCCATGTTTGGGAAATGTACCTATTGAAAGATTTTAAATACAGTCATGTGTGTTTGGGGTGATTTTATATGTAATATAATATGTGCTATGAAATGTAATATATTTGTAATGTGTGTGTGGAGAGAGAGCGAGAACAAAAATAAATTCATAAGATAAGACAAATAGGATTTGGTGTAGCAAGTAGAGTCTGCACACAAAATGCTCGGAGGAGCAGAGATAGATCCTGTGCAGTTTGGACAATTCTGACAAACACCAGAAAGAGAAGGTGCTAAGGTGGGGTTTGCACCTTGAATCACTTGCGCTGCTCAATTCATTACTATGAAGTCGTTAAGCAAAAAAATCAGATCCATGTGCTCACAAATGGAAAAAATGTTTAAAACGCATGTCACCGACCGCGGGGGATGGCACACCTTGGTGAGCTCTTAGGCCACAAAACGCAAACAAGTAAGAAATGGAGCCTTGTTCTCTGACGTGGTTTTCTATCTCCAGCCCCCATCCCAGCAGGTCGTGGAAAACTCAGTCCTGCCAACTCAAGGCAAGCCTGATCACCTCAGGTTTCTCTCAGAGAATTCCGGCCAGTCAGGGCATTTGCGTTTTCCCCTCCCCTGGCTCCCCAGACTTGGGTCTCTGGGGGCCTCCCTCGTGCCACGGTCAACAGTGCAGGTCCCCTCTACTCCCAGGCCCTCAGATTTGTTTTGAAGGGTCAGGCATCCCACCAACCAGAGCAGGGACAGCTGGTTCTCCTCCAAAATCCATGGTCACCACTTCCTCAGTAATGAAACCCCAACTTTATGTGAGGTCCTCGCACCCCACCCCCGTTTCCTGTTCTCTCTAGACGTGTTGGCCGGTGAGACACAGGGCCATGCACCACTTCCAGGGAGTGTCCCTAAAGGAAGACCATCCTCCTCGTGCCCCATCCCCTGTGATGCGGGTGCACGCGGTGGGGGTGACCACGACCACTGAGGTCCAGCAGCCACCTGGGGATGGAAGTCTTGCCCGGCACAGCAATGAGCCAACTTCTTGAATGTGGGAAAGAAATAAACTTTTATCTTGTCTAAGCCCCTGATATTTGGGAGGTTCTGGTAATTCACAGGCAAACTTAAGCCAGACTTCGCCACTTTGGGGGCCAGTTCAGAGTAGTGGGGCCAGAGCCCAGAACAGGTTCTCAAAGACCAGCACCTAGCTCTTCAGCTTTCCTCTCTGTGGTCTTCCCGGCCCAAAGCACTTTTGTCTCTTCCGTTGATGGGTGGAAGATGCCTTTTCTCCCGTCCTGAGTCTCTGCCATCCCTAGCAGACAACTAGGTGCCAAGACCTGTGTCCTTTGCTTTCTGGCTTTACTGGGACAGCCCAGCTTGGGACAACAGCTGCTGTTCGTGTAGCGGCCAGACTTGGGGTGCAGGAGGAGAGTGGGGGGAAAGGCACATTCTTAGTGCTCCAGGACCCAGCCCGCCCGATATTCCCGATATCCCCTGCCACTCTGGTGTTAAGAGGAAGGATGGAGACCCAGCCGGCTATCAGCAGTGCCCCCGGGGGGAGGGCAGGTGGGGGGTGACTAGCTGATTCTCCCTCTATAGGATTCTGTCATATGGTGGGTTTTGAAGTGATTTTCTTTGTGTGTGTGTGTTTCTAAGTTTAAAAAATCAAGAGGCAGGAGTCAGGAAAGGTACAGTTTGAGAATTGTGGAGAACTCTCCTACCGCTAGCTAATCTGGTCCTTTCTAAATGCGACGCCCAATTCCTTGCTTCACTAGCACAAGCCACTCACCATCTCTGAATTTAGCTTTCTCAATTTTGAAATGCAAGTAATATCAGCTTCAAAATGTTGTTGCCGTGGGGCGCTTGGGTGGCTCAGTCGGTTAAGTCTGACTCTTAGTTTCGGCTCAGGTCATGATCTCATGGGTCTTGGGATCAAGCCCGGTGTCAGGATCCTCACTCAGTGGGGAGTCTGCTTGAGATTCTCACTCCTTTCCCTCTGCCCCCCCAAATATATCTTAAAAAAATAAAAATAAAATAAATAAAATGTCGTTGCCATGAGTGTCTCATGAGAATGTGTCTCATAAATATATTTTGAAAGGTGTCTTTGTATGAAGCCTAATCCCATATGTCTCTGGCTCCAGCAACATCTCGGAACATCAGACATTCAACCTTGACCTTCACAGAGGAGGCAGAGGTGGAAGGGACAATAGGACACGTTGCCCTTCATAACCAGGTGCAGGGTGTGAGCTGGTTGGATGGCTCGGTTTCTTCTCCAGCTGGAGATGATTGACCCCCATGTATGCTAGAAATGTGGGGCCATGTGGCATGGAGCCTGGCGTGACGTCCCCGGGTGGTGCCCTGCAGCTCTCCACATCCTTCTCACAGCGATCTCAGAGCCCACCTGGAGGTGGGTGCCAGGAGGACACAGAGGCTCGGACAGTTAAAGAGCTTGCTTCAGTCCATAAAATCAGCAGATGGTGGAGGAGATGGAGGAACCACTTCTGGGTCAGAGCAGAGTCCAGGCTCTTCCCATGACCTCACTGTGTCCTAGGCACAAGGCTGTCCCACGGCCACACCGTGTCCTAGGCACAAGGCTGTCCCACGGCCACACCGTGTCCTAGGCCAAGGCTGTCCCACGGCCACACCGTGTCCTAGGCTCAAGGCTGTCCCACGGCCACACCGTGTCCTAGGCACAAGGCTGAAAGTGAGTGCTTCCTGCCCTGTCGTCACACCCGCCCCTCTTGGGCACTGTCCCAGGACCTCCGGTCCCCACTTGCTTTTACACGATGAGCGGCCCCATCCCCGTCATTTGCTGATCAATGTGAGGTTTCACTTCTTCCTTCTCGGTGGTTGGCCTTCAAGACGCGCAGGACGACATCTCTAAAGGCCTGGTGCTAGGCACTGAAGGAAATGTTTGGGGGCAGGACTGGGGAGGTGATTTTGCAGACCCTCATGTCCTTCCGTCTGCCTATAAGCTTGGCTGCCCTGCTCCTCCACGCCCACCAGCACGACCTGGATCACCTCACAGGGTGCTACTGGGAGTTCGTGCATCGGGCCGTTGGAAGCGTAGCCTGCCTGGGGGCTTTTCTGTGAGCCTGGGATGACTGGAGCACACAGCAGGTGCTCGGCATGTGTGGGCTGAACTAATAGGACCCCACAGCCTTGCCCCCGGAGCAGGGGCCCAGGGTCTCGCTGCCAGGTCTTCACAGGAGTTCCTCAGATTTCCTGACACCTGCGTCACACCTCCCCGGCTCTCCCAGTATTTAGACGTCACCTGTCTCTGTGACCAACTGATCTCTGCCTTCACACTCCCTGACAAACCCCCCTCCACCCTCACTCCATCTGGATTGCCTGTGGCTCCTTTGGAGCCACACGGAGGGAGGCAAGGAGGGAAGGACAGCCCGTACCTCCCCGTGACACGACAGGCAACATTCACATACACTTTCTGCAGCTGGGCACCCCTTAAAACCTGGTCACAGGACTGAGCCTCCTCCCCCAGGAGAGCAGGTGAGCACCCAGGCCAGAGGAGGCTGCTCCTCGGTCCACACACACACATTCCCTTTGTTTAAAGCCTCCTCAGACGTTTCACTGAAGGATTCTAAGAAAGATCAGAGAGGGTATTTTTAATACACATTTAAAAAAAAAACTATTTGAAGCCTGCAACTTACATATTTGTTACCAGTGAAGAGTGTAGATGTTATGGTCAGAGAGATAAGATATCGGGGAAGGGCCTTGCTGTGGAGAAGCAGAAATGAAGTGCTGGTCCCCTCCATGTATCCAGATGGGTTTTAAAATAGAATTCAGAAGACAAGGGCTTTGTTTTGTTTTGTTTTGTTTTGTTTTGTTTTGTTTTGTTTTGTTGTCAAGGACAAAGCTTCAGGTTTCCAAGTAACCAATGTCCATTCTCAAAGGAAGACCAAATGCTGCTCAGGCCTGAATGCCACGGTCTCATGTCCCTGAGACTGTCCCTGAGCTTAGCCCACCAGGCCAGAAGTGTTTGTAACACAAGCACCTGGCTTTCAGCTGCCTCCCATTCACATTAGAAACTTGGTTTCCCAATGCACTCTGAAGCCTGGCTATTATGTGGTCTTCGGATTATTTCACAGGTAAAGAAATTTTAAAATAAAGGTTTTGGTGTACTCTAGGAATGAAATCGCTTCTTCAACCAGAACTTGAACCAGTTACTACATTTCTCACAGTAAACTAAACTCTTTTTGATATATTTACTACAGTATTTTGCAGTTAGCGTAGGAGTTTACCTTCTAGAATCACCAACAAGAACGAAAACCAAGAGTGAAATCGAATATAATATTCCTGGAGCATAGGTGACAGAAACCGCTTCCTAAAAAGGTTACAGTAATTCTGGCCTTCAGAGGAGGATGACACTTTCAACGTGATTCAGGTATGGTTTGCGGGAAGTGCCGCCATGTTTGAAAACCAAGTGCCCTTCGAGAAGGCTACATGTTAAAATACTTTTGCCAAGAAATTATACTGCAGACACAAAGACATTTTCTTTCAGAATGTGAATAAAACAGCACCTCCTCTAGGAAACCGGTGACAGAGGCCTCTTTTATAGCAATACTTAAATTCTATTGGATCTTCCAAATACTTTAGGTAATTAAGTAACTGGTAACTACCAACAGCTCTCACTAGGAAAGGTAAGCAGATAAAAGATAGCCAGGGCTTTAGGAGATTTCAGAGAAAGAAAATAAAACAAAGCGCATTTAGTGTTCTTCAGGCTACTGGTTCAGGGGCAGGCAAGTCTGAGGAAGAGCACAGAGAAATCCGGGTTTCTAAGCTTTTCTTCAGATGATAACCCCATCTTCCTCTCTGCCACTCAGTCCCAGCGAAGCGTCTCTCTCAGGTGCCAGTGCGTTCTGATGTTTGGATCTGAAGGTAAATCATGTTTTCTTTGGGCTTTGCTATCCTGTAGCAGCCAAAAATAAAAATGAAAGTTAAAAAAACAGTCAATGTTTTGATTAAGAAACTATTGCAGGGCGCCTGGCTGGCTCAGTTGGTTGAGCGTCTGACTCTTGGTTTCAGCTCAGGTCATGATCTCAGTGTCATGGGATCAAGCCCTGTGTTGCACTCACGCTCAGCTCGGAGTCTGCTTAAGACTCTTTCTTTCTTCTTCTGTCCCTCCCTCCTGCTCTCTCTCTCTCAAATAAATAAATCTTAAAAAAAAAAAAAAGAAAAAGAAACTATTGCCCAGAAAGAAAGAAAGAAAAGAGAAACTATTGCAAAGTTGTCTATGGGAATAGATCTCAAAACAAAAGATGAAAACGAGATTAGCAAGCAACAGAGAGCAGAGGCCAGCAAAGGGGGATCTCAAGAGATGAGCGGGTGTCTATGGACAAATTGTACTGAAACAGCTTCAAATCTGGTAATCAACATTAGCTACCTGTCGACAACTATAAAATGTGTTTACAGTTAAAATAGAGTGTCCCTTATCAGTATTGAGACACCCAGAATTTCTCAAAGTCAGGTTTATTTAGCACTTAGTTGCACTTCATTGACAGAGTTTATTAAAAGCACAGATTTCCTGGGTCCCAACCTTCATTTACTAAGTCAAAAACCCTAGAAGGTCCAGGAATCTGCATGTCAGTAAGCTTCTTTTTTGGGATTATTCTGCATACTAAGTTTTGAGACTCACCGAGGAGTTCACACAAGATGCAAGAAGAATGGAGAAAATCTCAGATTTATCGAACACCTACTATGTCCCGGGCAATTGATTAGTCACTGTCACCTACTTTATCTCATTGCATTTTCCCAGCAACCCTCCAAACTGGGTACTAGTGTGGCTATTTCTCAGGCAAGGAAGTTAACTTTCTGTAAGTTTCAACGACATCCCCAAAGTCACGCGGCCAAGTGGATGACTGGATTTGAGCCCACGTCTCTCTGACTCCATAGACCATTGTCTCTCATCACGGGGACACATGTGTCTTTCCTATGGAATCCACAGAGCGAGCCTGGAGGGGGACCCGAGTGACCACCTCCTTGAGCACTGTTCAGTCCTTTCTTTTTTTTATTGCTTTAAGAGTAGAATCTGAGGGGCTCCCGGGTGGCTCAGCCGGTGAAGTGTCCAACTCCTAATTTCAGCTCAGATCATGATCTCAAGGTCATGGGATTCAGCCCCTGTTGGGCTCCATGCTCAGCAGGGAGTCTGCTTGAGATTCTCTCCCTCTCCCTCTGCCCTTTGCTCCCCCACACCCACTCTCTCTCTAAAACAAAAATAAAAAATAAAAAAAGAGTAGAATCTGAGACTCCATTAAAGCACTTGTCCCCATTACAAGCATGAACGTTTTAAATTGTTCTTCTTTGTAAAGAGAGTCACTAAAGAACCTGAACAAACAATTGTTAAAAGGACAGAAGGTTGGTTTAAAAATCGTTCCCAAGGCAGAGCAGTCAGCTCCGGGGATGAGCTAGGGACTCAGTCCTCGGTCAGGCAGCATCTCAGACACGGGTTCTCCAACCCACAGTTTAGAACAGATAACTGCCCACTAAAAACCCCTATTTGTGCTCTCCAGTATTTCCTTACTCAAAGCCAGTGACTGTGTTTCTCTCTCCAGCAACTCTGGGAGTAAAAAAAAAAAAAAAGAAAAGAAAAGATGCACACATACCTGCCAAGCTCTCCTAAACCATTAAGACGGGGCGGGGGGGGGGGGGGGGGGAATAGAGGCACCAGAGGGCAGGCCTCACTCCCGTGGGCCCCGAGTCCCTGAGCACCGTGGCCTCACCTCCCGAGGTTTTCCACATCCTCGATGGTCTCTGGCAAGGTGACCCGTTCGGTCTCGGGGAGGAGCAGCGTCATTGCCCCGGCAGCCAGGCCCAGCACCGCTTCAAAGGAAACGGAGTTCACACAGAACCGTTAGAGCACAACGGACGGCACTCCGCGGGATGCCGACCGCGACCTGAAGGGCTGGTAGGTGATACACCTGTGAGAGACTCTGTTTTTTTTAAGAAATCAGGAGCATCTAGGGAAAAAATTAAAACCATAAAATAACTGGGGAAATGTCAGAGCAAGAATAGGGAAATTCTACCGTAACTGATGTTTAAGTATTAGGGGATTTATTTATTATTATATATCATATATATCATAGTTACCATATATAAAACCATATATATATATCTTAATTATATTATCATGTATTATTTTGTATATGATGTATATTATAGTTACTATAAACTGTAATATATACTACAGTTACTATATGTTAATATTATATTACTACATATACGACGTGAAGCACAGATCATATATACGTGGGCAGTGTGGGCCTCTCTTGCCTCTCTCTCTCCTTCCCTCCTCCCCTCTCCTTATTTCTCTCCCCCTCCCACTCCTTGGTGGATCTGCCTGGAGCCCAGACACGGCCGCGCGCGGCACGCAGACGGCCATTTTGCCTTCCGCCAAGTGCGCAAGCAGGGCCTTGGAGGTCGCGAGGTCTGAGTTTGGGGAGACAAGGAAGACTCTCCTCCTTCTTCTTTAATCCAACTTTATCACTACAAAGCTGATACCAAACTTTGATTCCCATTTGTCTCCATTCTCAATTGTTAAGCAGAAGAAGGATGATAATTTAGCATATTCAAGCCTCCAGCAATTATATGTTAAATGCACAAAAATTGGAGCCAAATTCATAAGAAAGCAGGAGGCTATGTCAAAATGTCTCCCAAATCCTGTCCTGTAGAATGAATTATTGGACTCTAGAGCCTTCAGATGTAAACGTCTGGCCTGCTTTCTAGGAATGGCATCTTATCTTTCCCATGAAACAAGACAGAGTGAGCCAAGAGACAATGAGGAAGGGCAGGCACCAACCTTCTTCACCAGAGGATATCATTCACTGGTCAAAGTAATCATGCTGGGCTGGAAGAGCCCATGAAGTCTTACCGAACAAAATGAGTGGCAAGCCTTGCCAAACCTCCATCAGCCTGAAGACCAGGAAGGGGGTGATGATTCCACCCAGATCACACAGAGAGGAACACACCATCACTCCAAGGTTCCTGATAAAATATAGAGAACAAAAAAGATGATATCTCTGTGATTCAGCTTTCCAAATGTTAACCTTATCCTAGAGCAGGAACAGAGAGAGGAGAGAGGCTGGAGATAGAGTTAATCACCAATGACCAGTGATTTTTAATCCATCATGTCTACATCACAGAGAGTCCATAAAAACCCCAAATTAAAGGTTCAGAGAGCTTCCGGGCTGGTGAACATACCCATGTGCTGGGAGGGTGGCCCACCCCAAATCCACGGGGACAAAAGCTCCTGTGCTCGGGACCTTTCTAAACCTCACCTTAAGTACCTCTGCATCTGGCTGTTCATTTATATCTTTTATTATGTCCTTTATGATAATAAACCAGTAAATGTAAGTAAGTGTTTCTCTGAGTTCTGTGAAACATGATAGCAAATTATTGAACTCGGGGAGGGGCGGAGGGGAATCCTGATGTATAGCCAGTGGGTCAGAAGTACAGGTGACAGCTTGGGGCTTGTGCCTGGAATCGGAGGTGGGGGCAGTCTTGTGGGACTGAGCCCTCAACCTGTGGGGTCTGCTCTAAACCCAGGTGGTTAACATCAGAATTGAATAGGATACCCAGGTGATGTCTGCAGAGTTGGAGAATTGGTTGGTGTGAGTAGAGTTCTTCTTTTTTTTTTTTTTTTTTTTTTTACATGAAGAAATAGGGAAGTGTAGAGAGAAGGTATTAAGGAATGGAGAACAAAGAAAGCTAGAGGGGGAAACAGAGAAGTGATCTACCTGAAAGGATCCTCTCCATCCCTGCTAATAGTCTTGGCTCTGACATCTACTCTGTCTTATATGAAGATGGCCACTTTTGATTACTGTTTGCATGGAATATCCTTTTCCATCCTTTTACTCTTAAACTATCTCCACCATTATATTTAGAGTGAGTTTCTTGTAAGCAGTACACAGCTGGGTCTCACTTTTTTGTCCTATCTGACAATCTGCCTTTTAACTGGGGTGTTTAGAACATTCGTATTTCTTGTGTCTATTGATAAATTTTACATTGTTCAGCGCTGCATATTTTTGTATTCCTATAAATAATCGTGAGCTTTGTTTTAGAAACATGGTTAAATTAGGAACAATAAATTGGGAAAAGCTTTATCCTTTAGGATATTACTTTTGAGCTTCTTCTGTTATGCTCATTTGCATAATCTCTTCCTCCCTACAATTGTAATTATAAAAGTAGTACGTTCCATTTCCTTTCCAATCCCTCCCCCCACTACCTCATCTTAGATGGTTATATCATCTCTTAGTGTTTGCCTCTATATCTTTAAATATATTTATAACTTACTTTATCAGTGTTCAGTGATGTTTCTTCTTAGCTGGAAAAACATACTGAGGAAATTATAGGTAAAATTATCTATCCTTGTTCTATGGAAAGATTGTAATAACAAGAGTAGATGTTAAATTTTATTAAATGTCCTTCACTATCTATAGAGATAATAGTACAGTTTTAATTTATTAGCTCTATCAAAACTCTTTCAATTTATTAGTGTGAATTATACTATTAGATTTTTTAATATGGGACTATCTTTGTGTTCCTGAGTAATTCCTCTTAGATACGATACATTATTATTTTAATGTCTCCACTATTCTGTTCTGATAATATGTTGTTTGGGAATTTAATCAATATTCACAAATAATATTTGCCTATGGTTTCCTTATTTTCTTTATCTTTGTTGGTCTTTGATACCAATATTATCCTAGCTTTATTAAAATGTTTTTTGGGGGACACCTGGGTGGCTCAGTTGGCTAAGTGCTTGCCTTTGGCTCAGGTCGTGATCTCAGGGTCCTGGGATCAAGCCCCATGTCTGGGCTCCCTGCTCAGTGGGGAGTCTGCTTCTCCCCCTCCCTCTGCCGCTCCCCCTGCTTGTGCTCTCTCTCTCTCTGTCAAATAAATAAATAAAATCTTTTAAAAAAATAAAATAAAATTTTTTAAATCTTTCTCCTTTTTCTATAGTCTAGAACAGTTTTGAGTATCATTGGAGCTTTCTATTAATTAAATGTTTTATAAAATTTCCCTGTGAGACCATTGTGGATTTCCTCTTTATCATTATTTAGGGACTTCCTTATCTTATTAAATACATTTTTGGCATAAATTCAACTTTGTCTGATAAGATTATGGCTCTTGTTATACTTTAGTTTGCATTTACTGATAAGCTTTCATGCATTCTTTTCTTTTCAACCCTTCCAAAGAAAAGTTTACTTCAACTATGCAGCAAAGTGTACAGTTTTGCTTTGTAACCAACTGAAGGAGTTTCCTTTTGTCAATAGAGGAGTTGAGCCTCTTTGTGTTTGTTTAAATGTCAGAAATGCTTGGTCTTAATTCTGTCATTAGCTTTTACATCATGCTTTGTATTGCTTCTAGTGTCTTATTTTCAGTATGTGTTGGTTATGTGTATTTTTTTCTGATAATTTGGAAGATTTGTATTTTTTTAAACTTTATTTTTTTTAGTAATCTGCATAGATTGTGGGGCTCGAATTCATGACCCTGAGATCAAGAGTCACATGGTCTCCTGACAGAGCTGGTCAGGGGCCCTGGAAGGTTTGTATTTTTATTCAAATGTTACCTTTATAACTTTATATAATACATTTACTACTCTATCTTTTTAGAGCGTATTCATTAACTTCCTATTATAAACAATTATAAAATTTATATATTTCCACTTCCTCCACCCCTTCATGCACTGCTTTTAGTAAACTATACCACTGTGTTGGTGTTTGCCTTTATAATCTTAAAATACACCTAAAGCACTACAAAATTGATCAGCTTTTTAAAAAAGATTTTATTTATTTATTATTTGAGAGCGAGAGAGCCCACAGGCGAGCAGGGAAACAGGTAGAGGGAAGAGGGAGAGAGAGAATCTCAAGCCGACTCCCCACTGAGCTCAGAGCCTGACATGGGGCTCTACTCACAACCCTGAGACCATGACCTGAGCCGAAATCAAAAGTCAGATGCTCAACCCACTAAACCACCCAGGCGCCCCATATCAGCTTTTAATAATATATTTTTTTCCAAGCTGAAGAAAGTATGCTAAGGAAACTGGTCTAGTATACCACATGCAACATCCCCTCTCCCTTGTCTTCTAGCATTTCTTTATTGTCAGATTTATGACATTTACTGCTGTTCTGTTGTCAAAATCACACTCACTTTAATCCCACATTCAATGATTATCAAGTTGACAATCAATTTGATATTCTCCCTGTATCTGTGACTTACCCTTTGGGCCCAGTAACTTAACTAGAATATTCTTTATCATTGTTCCTTCTGAGTCCGTTTTTCCTGTTTCACCGAGTGCCACTTCAAATCATAGAGTCAAACATTCTTTTATTTCCAGAAGTTTCTGTAAAGGTTTTGTTTTTTTTTTTCCTTGAAGTTTTTTTGTTCCATTATTTCAGTTATCTTCTTTGGGACATGTGCATGTGTACGCATGTGTGCGCTTGTGCTTGTGATCTCCAAGACTCTTAAACTTTGCTTATTTCAATTTTATTTTGCAATTCTTAGCCCTACCTTGCTTTTCCCTCACTAGATCAGTTCTCCTTTGCCCTGCTTTCAGATAGGTTTCCGTTTCAATCATCTTGTCCCATATCTTCTCAAGAACTTTTATCTCTGCTGTAAACTCTTATTTTATAAATATGACTGATTAATTAATATTTTGCATTAATTGAGGTATTTGGGGTTACAATTTTCATCTCTTTTGTGACAATATTTTTTTAGAGTGTACTCTTCGTCTGTCATTTGCTTTTCCGGTTCCTTTCTCTTTTTCTCTCATGATGTATTTGTATAACTGGGTGAATTACTTTTTTATTATTCATCTTTTAATACCGTGATTTCTTCCTGTGTCAGCCATCTCAGAAGAATTTGTGGGGAGGGGCCAGATCATGTTCTACGCTAGTAAAAATTCTCTTTTTGACCAGGGTTGTATGTGATCAGATGCTTTAACGTCTCTCACTCTCAATCTACAGGGGTTGACAGTGCAGAATTCCTCACCATGCAGGGTCTCTCTCCTCCGCCCTGCTTGCAGCACACAGCTATCCCCAAGCTCCCTGAAGGTTCTCCCCTGGCCTCACTCTCCCGGCTTCACCTTCAGCCTCCCAGTGTTCGGCGAATGGAGCCTATGTCTCCAGACCCTATATCCATCCTGTTACTGCAAACAAGGGATCGTGGGTTATACCCTCCCAGGTATGCTTCCTACTTTGGAAAACCACTGGCCTTGTACACGAGTTACTGTCACATTGTGCATCCCTGGAATCTTCCAGACCCTCTGAAACCTCACTGCATTAGGCCGCCCTTCTTCTTACACCTTGTCTTTCAGGATCACCCTCGTTTCAAAGCTGGCATTTGCAGGTTTTATTCTCATTCTTCTAATAGTTTCAGTGTGATTTCCAAGAGGAGAATGGAAAAAAAAAAAAACATTTTTTTTTATTATTTTAAGAAACTACATCTTAAAAAAGTAAAAAAATTGAATAAGCACACAGAAGCTAGAAGAAGTAGGGAACTGGTTCCCTTATGTAAAATTCACAGTGTTGTGGTGCTTGATTCATTCAGCCGTTCTACGAGCCCTTAGTGACTGCTTAGCACAGCTGGAGAACAGGTGCAGAGGCACAGAGACGTATGGTACATCGTTCCTGTTCTCAGGGAGTTCATGCCGTACTGAGGAGACAAAAAGGAGAGACAGTTCTCAACACAAGGCAGTGCCTTGTGTTAGAAGGAGGATACTCTTCACTTCTAATACCTCCTGTGAATAAGAAGCACAGTCAAAATGGCTTCGATAGTAATTTTTTGACTTTGTAGTCCTTGTAAAGTAATAAAGTAACTGAAATAATCCTCTTTTTTTTTTTAATGATTTAGATTCGATTCCGTTTAGTGAAAATGCCAGTACTTTCATGACTGTCTTATTGCTGTGTGTGTGTGGATCATGTTTAAAGTCGTTTCTCAACATCTGGCTTCTGCTCCTAGTTACTGAGAATCCTCATCAACAGGCTCTCTGCACAAATGGTCAAGGGCTTGATCTTGAGATGGGTTGCTTGGCCTTCTTCCACATAGGAGCAGGCACTCAGTACCTTTGACAGTTTACATTTTCAGTCAGTCCCTTGGGGCCGGTGACCATGACAATGGAATTGTTTGGCCCAACTATTTTAGACTCTGGGCTCAGGACTGCCAAATGTAGAAGATTTTCTCTTTAATTGCCTTCATCTCTTTGTACTCAGTCCAAGCAACCTTTTACAGTTGAGAGTATTAGACAGGGCCTTTTAATGAAGAACAGGTGGGGAAGAGAAGAGTAAATCCGAACCACACTTGCATCTTCCGGCTGACTGAGGGGCTCAGATTGCTGTGTAGCTAAGAGATTGGGGACCTGGAATATTTCTTAGAAACCACTAGCACGATGGCATGAGGAATGGGAAACAATACAGACAGAAAAAAGGGTTTAAGGAAATATACCAAATTCTAACAAAGGTCAGAATTAAAACTTTAAATAAAGTGGTTAATTACTTTTACAATAAAAACAATCTTCATTTAAAACTAAGTCCCCTAAAATGAGGACGGCAATCAGTACATACAAAGTTGCTCAACATTGTTGGTAATTAGGCAAATGTAAATTAAAGTCACAGTAATAATACCACTACGCCCCAGAAACACTTAGACAAATAAAAAACTGACAACACCAAGTGCTGATCAAGATGTTGAGCAACCTGATCTCTCACATGTGGCTGGTGGAATACGAGACGGTGCAGCCATTTTGGAAAACATTCTGACAGTTTCTTATGAATTTAAACACACACCATATGAACCACTCCAAGAGATATGAAAACATATATCCACTCAAAGACCCATACCTGAATGTTTATGAGCAGCTATGTTATAATCACTCGAAACTGGAAACAGTCAATGCCAATAAACTGGCAAATGGGTAAGCAAATCATGGTACAGCACTCACACATTGGAATACCACTCAGCAGTCAGAAGGAGCAGAGCGTGGACACCTGCAACCACGTGGATCAGCCCCCATCATGCTGAGTGAAAGGAGGCGAACACACAAGGCTACATACATGCCATGTTGCTTCATATACATAACATTCTGGAAAAGGTAAAACCAAAGGGAGAGAAATCAGAGCAGTGGTTGCCAGGTGCTGGAGATAGGGAAGGGGGGGATTGACGGCAAAGGGATATGAGGAAGCCTTTGGAGGCGATAGAAAGATCTCCATATTGATTGTGATGGCCGGTAAATGAATACACATATAATCAAAACTCAGCGAACTTCATGTTACAGTGAATTTGGGTCTAAACCTGACTTTAAACAATAAGTCTTCTAGGCCTGGAGAGCCTGGGTAACTCAGTCGTTGGGCAACTGACTCTTGATTTTGGTTCATGTCATGATCTCAGGGTTGTGGGATTGAGCACCCCTTCCCCACCCGCCAGGCTCCACGCTCAGTGAGGAGCGTACTTGAGATTTTCTCTCTCTCCCTCTGCCCCTCCCCACATTCATGTGAGCTCTCTCTCTCTCTCTCTCTCTCTCTCTCTCCCCCCCAAAATAAATAAATAAATCTTTAAAAATAATAAGTCTTCGAGGCCTGTTGCTAAGTTTACAGAAAAGGATTGTGTCATCCTGGGAAGAGCCCAGCTTCGAGGACAGAAAGATGCCCTGCCATTTTCTGGCTGTGTGTCTCCTGCAAGTTCTCTTTCCCTCTCTGAAACTCAACTTCCTCATCTGTAAAATGGAAATAACAGTGACATTAGGGGTGAAATGGCAGATGTCTAGAAATGCTTTGTGTGTCACTGTACCAGTCGGAACTCTGTTGAAGTCCGTTATGTTTGCAGGTGTCAGTTCAGTTGCTGGACTTACCCAACTAGTTGGAGCTGAAGGCTGGGCTGAAGCTCAGTCTTGCAGTCCCTGCCCAGGGCCCTCTCCATGCCGATGCCTGTTCTCTCGTGCTTGCCCGCTGCACACTCTACTCCAACCTTCCCATTTCACATTCTCTCCCGTAATTAGGTGTTGACCCTCTCTTTGATGCCCACCCCCCCACCTCAGTGTCTAAATGGACCAACCTTTGGGGGAGCCTTGAGGAACTGTCTTGAAAATGCTGGTCCTCGCGGAGCCTGCCTGGTGCCCAGCTGTGTCACAGTGGTGACCCAACCACACATCGCCGCCCCCCACTTTGTGCACCCACCTGATGAACGTGGGATACAGCTCGGCGTTCACCAGGCACACCATCTGGAACACAATGGTGATTCCCATTCGGCCAACACAAGCCGCTGTGATGTTTAGCCAGTGTAGATCTGCACAGGAAACACACGGAGGTGGGGAACTCACGTGGGGACTGTGCCCACGGAGTTCCCTTCCTCGAGGAGCCAAGGTAGGAAGCTTGGACTTCAGAGCTGGAGGAGCCAGAAAGACTGCCTTGTCGAACGCTTTCATTTTGGGATAAGGAACCTGAGGCCTGAGAGGTTTCAGAACCTGATGATGACACAGCAGGGAGGGTTCCTTTATGAAGGGGAAAGAACATGCTTTTGGGATCTGCCTCCGGTCAGCCTAGTGACTTACCTCTTTGGGCCTTGTAAAGCTGTAAAATGGGAAGCACCAGAGCCAGCCTGTAAGTTGTTATGGGACCCTGAGACGATATATGTCAAGCGTCCGCCATGACCACTCCAGAAACGTTGGCTTTTTAATTCCTATGCAGTAATGTTGCTGCTAGCACCTGACACAGTAGGTCCACAATAAATGCAGCCCCTTAGGCAGCAGTCTGGGAGCTGACGGACCAGATTGCTAATCCTCAGTCTAGCCTTCACTTCCAAACACACTTTTCTCTTAAACAAAACACCTTTCAGGATAGTCTCAGATGCAAGTACGAGGGAAACAAACCCTTGACTCATCTTAGCAGACAGCTCTGGGGCTCCCGATTACATGAGGGTCCAGGAAGCCTTCCGCCTACTGAGGACCGATCGAGGAATCGGGCCCCATCACACACTCCACCTGGATTACCCCACACACTAACAAGCAAGTGGCTCCTGGGACATGCCAGGTGACTAATAAAGCCTCTGAGGTCACAGACGTCCTGTCATCCTGACCCCTGTCCCCAGATACTGGCTGCTAATGGAAGACATGCTTCGTTTCCCTCCACCAGCAGGAGGCTCCCAGGAGAGAGGACAGGGGGGCCTTAGGAATGAGCCCACCGCCAGGTCCAACTCATTCTCCACAAGGTGGAGAGCCCAAGGCAAGCCGTTAATCATGGACACCCCCAGCCCCCTAAAGACAAAAGATGAGGAAGTTCACGCAGACAGTATCTGCAGGGAGGGCCGTGTGTACACACGCTGGGGTCTGTAATCTGGCGAACGGCTCTACCGCCCTGGTCCCCCTCGGCGCTGGGGGCACCACTCCCTTCAGCAGCCAGAGGGACCGCGGGGAGCATCCCTGCCCAAAGCCCCCAGTGCTTCCCTTCCACACTGGGGATACCGTCCAAGGCTGCCTCCTGCTAAGCCCACCTCTGTCCCCCCGGCCCCTGCCCTGCTCTTCCAACTTCGGACACAGGAATTCCGGCTGCCCCTTGAATGCTCAGCTCCACCTTCCTCGGGGATCCCCCCACCATCTACGTTCCCCAGATGGTGACACGGCTCGTTGCCCTCACTCAGGTCTCCTAAGGCCGCCCCTGACCGCCACACAAAGGCTTAATGCCCACCATGCTTCACCTTCGCTTTTTCCCTCTAGAACGTAAACTCCGTGAAGGAAGAACATTTCTCTGCTTTGCTCATTGCTGAGATCCCAGGGTCTAGACGCATGCTGGCCACACAGAAGGTACTTGAAATATTTCCTGGAGGAGGGAGTGAGTGTTTATCATCTAATGTGACAAGGACCCAGTAGAGGCAAGTGGAGAGGGTGGGGGATGGGAAGAGGGCCCTCGGGGCGGGGGGGGGGGCCGCATGGGGCCAGAGAGCAGCATGGGCGAGATCTGCACCCGTGATAACTGAACACTCTCAGACCTTGGGCTCCTCCTCTGCACCTAGTGTTGTTACTTAAAAAAAAAAAAATCCTCCCATTCGTCTTTCCAGGATTCCAGAAATAGGGAGATGGGGAAGATCGTGGGTAAAATCTATTTCAGATAGACTCCGTTCCTTTCCCTGTCTTCTTTGTTCTCACCGTGCAAGGAGAGAGAAGAAAATTGAGCTGTCTTTTTATTTTCAGCCTGATCTATACAGCCTGGTTCTTGAGAATACGGATTTCAGAAAACACTTCCCACAGTACCCTCTCCCTAAACGCTTACCAAAACAACTCATTTAACCCACAGGGCCAGAGCACAAGCAATACAAACTGAGGAAATAGCAAATGTACCTAGTGCTTATTCAACCATCTTCCCAAATGTGACAAATATGAAAGGCAATTTGTGAACTCAAATTAAAACTGACTAAAGTTACTCTGCTTTGGATTATCTTGGGTTGTAAGAACCACGGACGAAAGCACACACCCACCAAAACAGCTGGTGTCAAAAAGACGAGCAATACCCAGTGTTGGCAAGGACGTGACACAATTGGAACGCTCAGGCATCGTTGATGGGAGTGTCCGTCGGTCCAGTCATTTTGGAAACCTGCTTGTATCGACTTAGAGCTGCATAGATGCCGCCCCTGACCCAGCAAACACACTCACAGATTTGTACCCAAGGGAAATGAGAGTCTATGCCCACGAAGAGACATGTGCCGGAACATTCCCTGCAGCTTATCCCAGCAGGCAGACGCTGGAAACCACACAAGTGTCAGTCAGTGTGGCAATAGTAGCATGGGATTCGTGCGGTGGAATGCTGCCCAGTGGTGAAAGAGAATGAACCACACTCTGGTGTGGCAACATGGACAAATCTCACGGATGGAATGAGGGAATGAAGCCAGACAAAGACATAGGGTACTTTTGCTATGGTTCCTTTTGTATGAAGTTCAAGAACAGTCAAAATTACTTTTCGGTGACAGAGGTCAGAGCAGTGGTGATCTGAACAGGATGGCTCAGTACGGATTGTCAGGGAACACAGCGGAACCTTCTGAGGTGTTGGAAATGTTCCATAGATCTAGGTCATGGTGCCCAGATATATTCACACGCAAACATTCATCAGCTTGTACACTTGTCATTTGCTCATTGTTGTGTATGTTATACCGCAATTTAAAATTTAAAAAAACAACAACACAGTTGTAGACTAAGATAACACCCTGTCTTTGTCTTTGTTCTTGTTCGAGGGGCACATCCAGGACCTGAAACACTATTCTCAAATTCGATCTGAATTTCAGATCGATAATTTGATTACCTAGAAGATGAGGGGAACGCACGACTCACCATGTGAGAGAAAGACCATGACGAAGCAGGCTGCGCCTGCCACCAGATTGGACGCGGCCAAGGGGCGGATGAGGCCACAGCGGTCAGTGGTGGCGAGGATGATGAAGGCCGCCGGGAATTCAACCAGAGCAGAGTAAAAGAAATCCAGGTAGAGGTTCCCCCCCGTGGCGCCCACGTGCATGATGAGGCCCTGGTAGAGCACGGAGCTGGTGAACCTGAGCACAGAGGAGAAGCAGAGTCTCAGGCAGAGGCTCCTGTCTGTGGGATGGGAGAGAGTTAAGATCCTGTCCAGCGAGGACAAAGGTCCCTACGAGCTGGAGAGGAACAGGTGTCCCTCGATTTAGAATGTCCTGGAGCGACATGATAAAAATCAGGAAGGCTGTCCTAGAGGGGCGCTCAGGGAGAAGCTCCTCTCAGGATTGGTGTGACATAGTGACTTCCAGGATATAACGACATGTCCTCGAGATGGCAAACGAGGACCCTGAGGCCCCAGCAGCTACCAGGGGATGGGCAGAAGGCACCGCGGAGTGAGCAGGTTCAGCAATCAGACTGCTGTGTGAGCTGTGTGACCTTGAATAACTGAACGAAGCCCTCTGTGCCTCAATTCCCTCATCAATAAATGGAATAAGGTCTTCCGAGAACACTCGGACACAGTCCCATCCTGCCCAAACTTCGAGTCTCAGCCAGAGCGTCCTTTCCCACGGGGGAGCCCCTTGTTCCACACCCACAAGGGGACAGCAGCCTTGTCCTGACCACAGATGTATAAGGCTTAGAGGCCAGCCTTTATTCACTGTGTCCCACCCCAGTGCCACCTACAGATCAGGCTTGCCCTCAGCAGAACGGTGACGAAAGGCGCACGGATGAGATATTTCTCTCCACAGCCCTCGCTGCACCCCCTCCCTGTCCCACAGTAAGTGCCTGGTGTGGTTCTGGGCACGTAGAAAGCACTTGCTGAAGATGAGCGATGATTGGCAGCGTCATCATCATCTTCCCAAGGTCAAGTCCGCAAAGCACAGCAGAGCAGGTGCCCGCCAAGTCTTTCCTGCTTCAACAGCGCTGTTCCCCTCCACCCTCCACCCTGTGGCCCACCTGAGTTCCCTCCACCCGTATTCCAGGGAAGAATAGCAGTGGTACAGAATACGGCACAGAGACCAGTGGGGACCCGCCAAGTCACTCAGGGAGAATTCAGAGGGTCCCATGTGTCTTTTTGGGTGACGTATCATTTTGGAGGCTAGAAACATTTGATCATTATATTGGTATTTACACTGCGAGAAGAGATTTTGGTTGATAAGGGGTTGCTGTCTTATCCCAGCACGTAAATTGTCCATCAGCTCCAAAACAGAGATCACAACTGATGGTTCTCATCAATAGACTCCCTCGTTCTATAAAGCTGCACACAGAAAAACATTGGGATGCTCTTGTTTCTAGTCCTGAATCATTCCTGATTTCCGAAAGGCTCACCACGCCCTCTCTTTGCCCCAGTAAAATGGAACACTCATATCTTACCGATAAAGAGATTGATTTAAGAGAAAAGAATGTATAAGCTTGATTTTTTCGTCAAAAAGCAGTTAACAAATGTGCAGGCCTGCCATCTTTTGGCAGAACCCATGAATTGCATGTACACGTTAAAATAGTAGCCGGTCGTACTGAGCCCCTGGTTCTAAGCCATTTACACAAATTACCTCATGAATCTACCAACACGCGGGTGGGGGGTGGGGTACTACCATTACCCCTACTTGCTGACGAGGAAACTGAGTCATAGAGAGAATACAGAGCTGTCTGGAGTCACGCGGCCCGAAAGTGCTGGGAAGGAAGGAGCAGGTGGAGGGAAGGGGTGTCCAGGGTCAGCTCCTTGTAGGCCACAGAAAGGGATTTGGTTCTATCCTCAGTTTGTTAGGAAGCCAGCAGAGGATGTGGACAGGGGAGTGACCTTTCAAAAAAGAGCAGAATTGGCCCGGGGAGTGGGTGCAGGGGTGTGAGAGCAGAGGAGTCAAAGCATTCCCCCCCCCCCCCCCCAAAGGGGGGGGCATTGGGGGGGGGGGGGGGGGGGGGGGGGGGGAAAGGGGGGGAAAAACACCCCCCCCCCCCCCCCCGCCAGAGGAGTGCATTAGGGGTTGGCAGTGGGGGAGGCGAGTGGAAAGGGGAGGAAGTAAAGAGGGGGATGAAGTGCACCAGGCAGCTGGGGTGTTTGCAAAGGCCCCCCGGGGCCCATCGTGCGCTGGCTGCAGGACTCTGGGGCCAACACGGGGACATGGCAGGTGACTGGTGGGGCCAAGGGAGGGCATGGTGAGCCTGGCTGGCATCTCCAGCACTTGGGATGGATTCTGGAGAACCGTGGTTATTTATTCAACCTTCAGCAAATATTTGCAGGGCTACCATGTACCAGGCATCACCCTACTAGCTTGGACCCTTGGTTCTAGTAAAACCTTGCTGGAAGCGGAAACGAGTGTACCAGCAGCAGAGTGGCTCCAGCTAACGGGGGGAGCCCACAGTCCAGCCACTCAGCCCCGGGGGTTGGGGGAGCTACTGAATGTCAAGGACAAAGCCCGGGTGACGGGGAGCTGGCTGGATGTCCTCTGAGGGAACAGGGTAGGGGGCTACAAGAGAGCAGCCTAGAGAGGGGTGCAGACCCTGGGGGTGGGCCAGGGTACGTGGGTGAGTAGCCCAGTGCCCGGGTAAGCCCCCGATTCCGTTGGGGGAAGGTACAGGAAAGGCCCCTTACCACAGGTACATCAGAATAAAGGTGTACTTCCTCAGGTGTGGCGTGCGGAACAGGTCTGCAAAGGAGGGGCTCAGCTTTTCAGTGACATCCTCTTGGAGAGAGAGCATCTAGGAGGGAGTCAGAGCATCAGCTGCATCCAAGCTGGGGGGAGCAGAAGAGGCCCTCAGAGCCACCCCACCCATTCCTGTGCTCAGCGCTCATCACCCCAAATTCTTCCAGGGACTTCCTGCTCCTCAAGGCAGCCCCGGAAGCATTTTCTAAATCATAAACCCAACCCAAAGTTCAGTGATACGAGAAACCCCTTGCTAGTTTGTCACCTTTAGATCAGCGAGAGGCGATTTCCCATTCTTTTGGGCGATATGGTCCATTATCTTTATCACTTGAGTGTTTCTCTTCTGTGATAGCAGCCATCGGGGAGACTCGGGCACACACCTGCAGACACAGACGTCACTACGTGGTGGCTTCCCCAGAGCACGTCTGATGGTAAGCCCTGGTCAGAGTGGTGCTATTGCTCCAAGCAACCCACCCTCCTCACTTCGGGACTGCAATTCCTCAAGCAGCTAGTGGACGAGGACCTGGGGTCATCCTGTGCTGGCTCAGGGTTGCCCACGAAGGAGCTCTATGGGTCCCTCACACTCTCAGTGCCACCTGCTAAGATTTAGGGTCAAAAAGGGAACTGCTGCTTTCCTCTGTGGCCTTCATTCCACGGAGCCGGGGTCCCATTCTCTGCCGGCCCCTGGAAACTCCTTGCACAGAATCGATGCTCCATATGCCCCCCAACCCTTGTGTGACAGCAGGGTGTCTCCGTGTCATACAAGGGCTGTTGAACAAGATATCAAAATACCTCCAAAACCAAATAAACAGATAGTATGCGGTCCATTTCAAACCGGGTAAGGATGTTACAACGTGAAGATTGGGAATCTCTGGCATGCGGTCTTCTGAAAACACTCAGGCATAGGCCCACCCTGCCCAGCCAGCGAGACTCACCAGGGCGTCCTTCCCCACTGGGGAGCCCCAGATTTCACCCTGATGGGGGAGAGCAGGCTCGTCCTGACCACAGACATACCGCTCCCAGCGGCAAGCCCTGGTTTAGAGAGACTGGGTCTACTTCAGTGCTACCCACCGATAATTTGTCCTTAGCAGAATGGTGACGAAACGTGCAGGGATGAGATATTTCTCTCCACAGCCCTCTCTGCGCCCCTTCCCTGGCCCACAATCAAAACTCAAAACTCAGCTGCCCAGCTGCTTATCCCTTGGGACCCTGCCAAGTGCTCTCCGCTAGTAACATGAATACCTCATCTTGGGACTGGTTTGTCTCACAATGGCTTAATGTGCACATTCCCCGAGAACTTTCATTCACTCATTCATTCGTTCATTCATTCATTCAACAAACAGCAAATGCCTACTGTGTGGCTGGGTGGCTTCCTATCTGACTTGAAGCATTGCCCCTCTACCTAAACGGATGCAAACTGAGAGAGGCTCTGTTTGAAGGTAGCTCCCCATGTAGCGGGGGCCATCCTGTAATATTAGAACACCCCAAATGGCACAAAGGGGAGAAGCAGTCCTGTGCCCGAGTGTGTGGCCACCGTGGCCATTTGGGGGATGGCTTGTGTGGTCACCGAGCAGCAGGCAGTCGGAGTTCACCGAGCGTGGCCCCGGGGGTGGGGAGAGGAGCAGGCCCCGGGGAGGACCCGCGGACCAGTAGCAGAGCAGGGAGAGGAAGGCGGGCAGAGAGATGGCCAGCTGGAGCCACCGCCAGTGAGGGATGGCGTAGGCCACCCCTGAGAGTAGCAGGAGCCCCACCGTGAAGGCCATCTGGTAGAGGATCGCCACTGTTCGCCTGTAGCCCAAGCCCACGAACTCTGTGACTGAAACAGGACATAAGTCACCACTGGGGCTCCTAGTGCTCCCCGTGGCCTCCCTCCTCCCTCCTCCCTCCCCCCGGGCAAGCCCCTGCACCTTGCCTCTGCCTGCCTGACCCCAGGCTCCTTCCCCTCGTCCTGCTGATGCTACTCAGCTCAAGCCTCCCTGAGATGCACCTGGCTGTCGGTCCCAGCTTCTCTCTAGCTCTTCCTTTGCTAACCACCCCACTTGCCGTCTGTAGTGTCCTCCGGGTGCTTCAGGGTCCGGTATGCCTGAACACAGGGCCCCCTCTCCTCCCCAGGGCTTTGCCCCGACAAACTCCAGACTGAGCTGTGAGATTTCTCACGGCCCCAGGAGCGCACATTCATCTAACAAGCATCCCTGGGTGCCTACCAGGGACCCAGCACCACTCTGGGCGTTTGGGGTGTGTCATCAGCCCCACGGGCAGAGTCGTACCCTCATAACCCCACATCCTCATGAGAGAGGGCAGAGGGCACACCCAGCAAATGCGTAAATTGTGTGTCAGACCAGAATGCACTTCGTGCCACGGGGGGACAGAGAGTTCACTGGTGGAAGGGGATTGGGAGAGTGGAGGGTGAAGGGGTTGCAGGTTTTCAGAGAGCAGTGCGGGGGGGGGGGGTGAACCTCAAGGGTGAAGTTCCAGGCAGTGGGAGCCAAGGACCAGGGAGAGGGGCGGTGCCCGGGGCCAGGCCGTCCTGGGGGCCTTACGGAGGCTGGTCTGTGCTGCATGAAGTGCAGTGCCCGGGCCCAGAGGGGCAACACAATCCCACGTCCACTACTGAGTTGAGACTGGGGACCCAGGTGGAGGAGAAGCGACAGTGTTGGCTTGGGCCCAGGGGCAGGGGCGGAGGAGAGATGGTGGACACGTGTGCGCTGTGAAAGCCAGCAGCAGAACCCCTGAGGGGCCAGAAGCAGGCGTAGAGAAATGGGGGCCATGCTGACTGCCAGACCTCTGGCCTGAGTGGCTGGACAGAGGGCACGTCACTGACTGGGGGCTGGGGTGGGGGTCTGCAAGTGGAGCAGGTTTGGGGACGGGGAGGACAAAGTCCTGGGTCCTGCCACATTGAGGGATTGGGGAGAAGAGAAGCCAATAAAGGAGACCAATATTCCCAGGGGAGGCCCAGGGAGTATGTGACTTGCAAGCCTTCGGGGGAAGGAAGGAAGGAAGGAAGGAAGGAAGGAAGGAAGGAAGGAAGGGAGGGAGGGAGGGAGAGAGGGAAGGAGGGAGGGAGGGAGGCTGTCCCCACGTCGTGCCCTGCCCGGTCAGACAGACAATCACATACAACTAGAGCGAGCAGAATTTCTCTAGACCCCGCAAATGTCCCCTCTCCCCCTAAATCCCAACTCCAATTTGGCTCCACCCCCTTCCACCTGCCCACCCACCCACCTGCCCTGGCGGGAACTCAGCCCAGCAGACACTTACTCAGGACATAGCCAGACGTCCAGCTGCCCTTGCTGACCAGCCCCTGCAGCAGGCGGAAGAGCAGCAGAGATGGGTAGTCTTGCGCCGCAGCCATGAGGACGCCCAAGACGGCACTGATGAGGCTGGTGGCCAAGAGACATAATTTTCGGCCAAACCTTCAGATGCAAGGAGACAGGGAAGTGGGGGGGGGGGTGTTGAGTATTTGGGGTCCAATGGGCACCAAGGGACAGCAACAGTTTCGATCGGGAGGCATGCATCACTGCTGTCCTAAGGGACTGCCCCCGGGACCTGAGGGCCCAACCGTGTGGTCCTCAGGGAACAGTGACCCTTCTGAGGTTCATTAACTCACTGTAAGGAGGAAGCCAGAATCCTGATGCTCTCGGGCATCTGGCATCTCAGCCGGGGGGGGGGGTTCCCCTGGGGATTCTGCAGGTTCCCACGTGTGCCCCCTCTCATCGCCCGACAGACTGTATTATTATTAACATGCTAGTCTTATCAGCAGCCTCAGAAACTTTTCTGGGAAAATATTCAGTTCTAATGGTATAACAGTTGAGGATTGTTTCCCTTTCCTTTTTCCATGAATGAAATGGGCAAATCACTTGCTAACTCTTCATCCCGGTAGGGAGCTTCACTGACTCCATTTTTCCAACCTGATCCCTCACTCTGGTGGCTACTCGAGGAAGCAAGGGGCCAACCTCCTGCACGGTCACAGCGACCTGGTCTCCACCCCCAGATCGCCCCACCCTGCAACCTCTGTGTTCCCTGCCCCCTGCCTCCTAGACTCCATCCCAGGGCCCTTCATCCCCCTACCCCTTGCCTTCTCACCGCCAGCCCCGCACTCCGCCCCAGCGTGCCTCCACAGCAGCCAGTGAACGTCCTCATCCTGTACTAATGTAGGAACTTTCTGTCAGACGCTCACACCTTGTCACCTCAGAACAATCAGAACGAATGTCATCTGTGTCCACCTCCATCTTTTCTCCTGTGCCTCCGACCAAAGGCTGCTTCACCTGCTCCCCTGGGGCCCAGCCCCTCCACTGCCCCGTTGCTCCGTCAAGCCCTCCACGCTGCGGTCACCGCCATCCTGGACCCTTTGCCTGTCCCCTGTCCTTCCTGGCCCACTTGCCTTACAGAGTTGTCCACAAACACAAACTCTACTTTCTCCTCTCTCCTTTTCCCTCAGCCTTCCCCTGACACCATCCTTGTCACTGGTCGTCATGGCGCCGTGTCCACAGGTTTGGACCCATCAGGCCAGTCCCGTCGTGTTTTCTATAGCTTCACGCTCTCCCGGAAGAGCGGTTGTCTTTCTACCTCCCTGCCATTTCTTCCAAACCTCCTTTGCCAGCAGCTCCTTCCCTACCAGCCTCTATACACTCCGCTAGCTTATCTTAAACGCCAACAAATCCCAAATATTTATCTCTAGCACAAACTTCTCTTCTGAGCACAACCCACGTATCCACCTCCCTAGGTGACGTCTCTTCTGCGCCACCTGGGCCATGCTTAGCATAGCCGCCATGTTCACCCCACCAGGACAGAACTCTTGATGGCTCCCCACCCCCTCCCCCCACAACAAAGGCTGCTAACCTCCTCCGTCCTGTCTCAAAAAATGGCCCTACCCTCACCTCACCCATCTGCTCCATGCATAAACCCTGGCTTTGTCCCCACCTTCTCTCAGCCCACCACCCCAGCTATACAATCTGCATGAGTTCTGACCCCCAAAATCCATCCTAGATCCCCACTCATACTCCGTTGCGCTGCCCTACCCCAGTCCAAAGCACTAGCTACCGTGTCTTTCCCCATCAGCATCTGCAGTAGATTTCACCCGGCCGGATGCTTCCACCACTGTCCCCTACGATGCATTCTCCTCACGGCATCGCCGCTGCGTTTAGTCAGAATGAACTTTACGTACCTGTCTGCAATGTAGCCGACACCCAGAGAGCCCAGGAAGAAGCCCAGGTTCACGCAGGACTGAAAGAGGTCCACCTTCCAAGAGTCGTCACACACCAGGTTAAACTGCGGGTCACACCACGGTCAGAAGGGCCGAAAACACAAGACTGTTTGTAAGTCAAACCGTCCCTTCCGTCTTCTCTCCAGACAAAGTAAATGTTTACCACGAAGTGTGATAGCCCCATGGGTTTCACATCATTTTCTCTTGCCACAGTTTCATAAGACAAATTCCAGGTTTCTGGAGAATCTCAGCTACTACCATTATATGCCTAATATCTTTGCTCTACCCTCACTACTGTCAAGAGCTTTGACCTTGCCAGTCGTTATTGAAAGACAACACGGCCAACAGATAAGTCTTCTAAAAAGAAGTACAGCACAGTAATTTCCTAAAGACAGAAATGTAGCAAAATAAATCGAACGTGATTTCCAGAACTGGTCAAAAGCCATCCATTAAGTCCCTGTTAATTATATATTTAATTATGTGAAGTCCACCGATAATTCTGGAGACTCTGCATGGCGGATGGGGCTGCGAGTGGCCACGGGGAGGGGCTGAGCAAAGACACTATGGGCAAGGAGGGGGCTTGGAGGGAGCACCATGCGCGCTGGTGTCCCGTGTGCGGGGTCCAGGGTGGCCGGAGACTCAGAGGGAGCCCCGTGCCCAGAGCCAGAGAGGGGAGGCACTAGGCAGGAGGGAGACAGGGGCAAAGGCAGGACAGATCTGCCTGGGGAAGGGCTCTGTCGTGCTTCAGGGGAAGCCCCACCGCAGGGGGCACACACCTGGGCACCATGAGGAGGAGGAGGAGGGTCCCACTTCCTCTTCGGGGCACAGAGAAGGAAGAAGTAAGGCGTGGAGCTCCACAGCTGGGGCCCTCACGTCATCCCCGTTCCTGGCACAGCCCTGACGAGGTGGTGGCCTGTGGCACACCCTTCCTTTCTCCCTCTGTCCCACTCTAGTTACTTTGGATTGACGGCTCCCCCTACCAGATGTGACAGCAGGTGGGCCTCAGTTTCCCAGCCTGAACTGTGTGTACTGTGCCTGTCCTGTCCCATTCACAGAGCTGGTGTGAGCACGGAGAGGAGAAGTCCTGTGAGAATGGTTTAGGTAAATAACAAACCCTTTACCTTGTAGGATAGAGGTTTTACTACACACCACCGTCCGCAAATCTCTAGGTTGCCAGTTAAAACCGGGCCTCCCCCACCATGCCCCCGTCCCCAGGCTCAGGGGTTGATTGTTAAGGGCCCCAGGGCTCTGGGCTCCGTCAGCCTGGGGTTCTCTCCAACTGGCTGCTTACTTCCTTGACAGGAGCACTTTTTTAAAATAAAATCTAGGTAGCACTCTGGGACACCACCTGATTTTCAGAAGCGAATCCTGAGCCTGTCCTACACCTGCTATTGCTGCCCAGACCCCGCGGTCTGCTCCCGTGAGTGGCTCAGCTCTGGGAGGCCCGACAAGATGCCACTCAGCATCTCAGGCGGTCCCTCTACCAACCCAAATGTTCACTCCCTTCGGCTGAAAGCACACCGGCCCCGCGAGGCTTCCGTGGTTCTTTGGTTTTCCCGGGCTGCCCTGGGCCCTGCCGTTAGAAGACTGAGGGACAAATCACTCTTGGGTGTTATCTGGCTGTCCCAGAGTCCGCATGTCCACCTGCCCAACTGTCTTTTTGTAGCCTCTACTCAACTGTCCAAGACCACAATCTATGTGCGCCAGATTTCCACCAAAGCTGCAGGGCACCGTTTTTTGTCTTTGGTTCTAATCTTGGCCATGAGTGTGTCTGTAAGATGTCCCTGCCCCCCTTCCTGAAATGCCCAGGGCGCTCACAGAGCGGGAGGAAGGCGCATCTGGCCTTACCTGCCACCACCACCTCCTGCGGAGATCTCTGCCCCCCACTACGCTCAAGATCTGTGTCTAGAGTCACCTGCCATGCACTGTGCACCCCCCAACTCACACCCAACCACTGTCCCCCCTGCACATTTGTGCACACCAGGAAGACAGGCCCAGCCCTCAGGAAAGCCTGGGGTGGCGCAGAGTAGGGGGCGCTAGATGGGTGGCTGCGCCCACTGGGGTTCTGCCAGGGCCAGGGCCTGCGGCCTCAGGCACAGTCTGTGTTCTCCAAGCTCGTCTGATCACGAGAATCACCCAGAGTCCTTGCCAGAATGTCGACTGCTGTGGGTCCTGTCTCAGCAGATCACAGAGCAGAAGCCAGGAGATCTCTAGGATGAGACAAGTTTGGAAACGGTGATACTGCTGATAGAGCGCTCCCGGGACCTGGGGCTGAGGCCTTTCTCTTGCTCATGCTCCCAGACCAGGGAACACTGGGGTTAACCAGCCTGGAGGGGGCTCCCCAGCCCACTGTGGGGCTGCAGCTGACAGGGCAGGGGACTCAGAAGTCAGGGAACGTGCACATTCCTTCCCCAGACGGAGCCCCAGGCCCCATCCCTAGCACAGAGGCGGAGTGCCGCTGCGATATTCAAACAAGCTGGCTCAGCAGCCTCCTCCCTCAAGCAAGTTCCAATGTCCAAGGCAAGGCTAAGTTAGAGATTATTTCTGCAGAAAGGCAAATCCCCCCAAGAATAAGCTGCAGTTTAGGATGAGGAGCGGAGGCAAAGGCGGGTTTAAAGCAATGGGGAGAGAGTGCTGAGTCCTCCCGGGCCCCCTCCCCTAGAGCCCCTGTGTCTAGTCAGCGCAGTGTCTCCAGCAAACCCCCCTTCACACTCAGCACTCTACCCTACAGCTACCTCCTCCCCACTCCCTCTGTGAATGAGAATTCGAGGATCCCCTCAATCCTTGCCAGTACTTGTCCAGGGTCTCGTAGAAGCCCACCCCTGTTGCCACAGACAGCCACTGGGTCCTGGAGCTCTCTCAGTCCCCTTGCGTCTGCCCCTCCCCCTCCGTGTCTGCTGCCCCTCCCTGCCACCACCCTGCCAGGCGCCTCCACCGCCCAAACGGCCCAAACTCCCTCCTTCTCCTGTGGTCCAGGCTCAGGCTCAGAAGCCCTACTCGCCCACCCTCCCCCAGGAACCCTCAGGCAAGATAGGCCCCTTCCTCACAGCCCAGGCCAGCCCCAGCACCCTGCATCCAGACCATTCCCAAGTCTAGCTAGGAAGGTCTTGCTCCTCTGCCTAAACAAGACCAAACTTCCTCATTTGGCATGAAGGCAGGGTTGCCAGGTTTAGGAAAGAAAACCCAGGGTGCCGGGTGGAATCTGAATTTCAGATAAACAACACATTTTTAGTATTAGTACGTCACATGCAACATTTGTATTCCCTGCCTCGGTTATCAGCATCAAATATTGTGCAATATGTGGGGCATAATTATCTTAAAAAATTGTTTGTCATTTATCTGAAATTCAAATTTAACTCGGTGTCCTGCATTTCTCTCTGGCAACCTTACACAAAGACGCTGCGCTCTGGTGGAAAGTGAGGCGTCACCACCACTCACCCCCACGCCCCTCCACAGAGACCTGAATTTGAATCAGTGTAACAGCACATTGTCCCCAGTGTCGCACAAGCTTCCTCTCCCCTGAGCCTCAGCTCACGTTCCTCCTCCCTGTCTGTCCTGTTCCCGCTCCTTGCTGCTCAGAATACCGCCCGCCCGCCGGAGGCTCCATTCAAATGCCACCTCCTTCCAGAAGACGCAACCCTCTCCTCCCCCCCCGCCCCAACGCCCATGATCAGTTCAGCAGCTAAGGTACTCCAGTCACAGAGAACAAACACATCCCTGTCTGGGTCTGCTTCTAGAGTCCCAGCCAGAGCACTGGACAGTTGAGTCCCTGAGAGCGAGGTGTCTAATTGGTTGTCTGTCACTGGAGGAAGACTTGGAGACCAGGTGTTCAGGGGTGGCAGGTAAAGCAAGTCACACCCGCACCTGTTCCTCCCAAAGGGGAAACTTTTTTTTTTTTAATTTTATGATGTTCTGTTAATCACCATACATTACATCATTAGTTTTTGATGTAGTGTTCCATGATTCCTCGTTTGAGTATAACACCCAGTGCTCCACGCGGAACGTGCCCTCCTTAATACCCATCACCAGGCCGACCCATCCCCCTCCCCCCTCCCCTCTAGAACCCTCAATTTCTCAGAGTCCATCGTCTCTCATGGTTTGTCTCCCCCTCCGATTTCCCCCCTTCATTTTTCCCTTCCTGCTATCTTTTTTTTTTTTTAACGTATAATGTATTATTTGTTTCAGAGGTACAGATCTGTGATTCATCAGTCTTACACAATTCACGGCGCTCACCATAGCACATACCCTCCCCAATGCCTATCACCCAGCCACCCCATCCCTCCCACCCCCCCACCACTCCAGCAACCCTCAGTTTGTTTCCTGAGATTAAGAATTCCTCATATCAGTGAGGTCATATGATACATGTCTTTCTCTGACTTATTTCACTCAGCATAACACCCTCCAGTTCTATCCACGTTGTTGCAAATGGCAGGATTTCATTCCTGTTTGCGGCTGCATAATATTCCATTGTGTATATATACCACCTCTTCTTTAACCATTCATCTGTCGATGGACATCTTGGCTCTTTCCACAGTTTGGCTGTTGTGGACATTGTTGCTATAAACATCGGGGTGCACATACCCCTTCAGATTCCTACATTTGTATCTTTGGGGTAAATACAATTTACCAGTGCAACTGCTGGGTCGTAGGGTAGCTCTATTTTCAACTTTTTGAGGAACCTCCATACTGTTTTCCAGAGTGGCGGCACCAGCTTGCATTCCCACCAACAGTGTAGGAGGGTTCCCCCCCAAAGGGGAAACTGCTGCTCTGCCCCCTCCCCAGTCCGACCCCCTCCCTACCCCCCCGCCGCGGGGTACTGATCAGGCCAGAGGAGAGGACCCAGCACCTTCCTCCAGTAAGAACCTCGGTTGTGTTGACACTGAAACTGGCCTGTGGCCTCAACAATTGACCTCAGAGCCAATTTCCAAGGGCCCACACTTGTCACAATGCAACATTTTCAAAAAGATGCACGAAGGAAAAAAAAAAATCTGGTGGCTTTTTACTAAAATATTCTCAAGGCGCAATACAGATAGGACCCATTGAACTCAGCAAGCGAGGCCCTTTGACACCAGTACCCCATCCTGTAGGCGGAGAGTGGGGCTGCCACCCACAGCTAAACTCGCCGACCCTGTGGGGCCGGTGACTGCCATCTCTGGCTCACCCATGAGGAAGCGGAGGCTCAGAGATGCTGAGTAACATCCTCAGGGATGCCCAGCTGATCTGGGGCACGGTTGGGATTGACACAGTCTGACTCCAAAGCCAGGGTGGCTTCCGAACCACCCCAGCCAGCACACAGCTATCACATGAGTGGAGGAAGGGGGACCCACCATTCTAACGGCACCCCAAGGGAATTCTACAGGCTCTTGGAGAAGCCATGGGGCAGAAAGAAGAGGAACCCATCTCCCCGTAGGCCCGTGTTCCAACAATGCAGCTCAGCCTGGCTGGCAAAGTTCTCCCCGCCCTCCAGCCTGCTCCTCGAACCCCCAGCATCTGTGGGGGACCAGACGGCAGAAGCAGGCAGAGTGCCCAGGATGGAGCCAGGCACATCCTAAGTGCTCAGCCGACAGAACTCTCCTCCCTCTCTCCTGATGTGAAACCGAACCTCCTAGGATTTGTTGTGTGTCTCCTCCCTGCCCCTGAAACCCACCTGTTCCCCCAAACCCGGGGCCTGCCCTTACCTCGGTCACAATGGACGAGCCGTGCGTGTCGTACACCCAGCCGTGGCGACAGGGCCCCAGCGGCAGGTGGCTCCTGTTGGTGGCCAGGCCGGCCAGAGGGTCCACGCAGCTGAGGGCGCTCCGGTTCCAGTCCACCTCATAGCCGCGGCACTGGCGGGGGAAGGCCTCGCCCATGGCCCCCGGGCCGGGCACCGTGTAGTTCAGCTCCTCCGCCAGGCTCCAGCCGCATCGCCGGCTCAGCTCGGCCACCCCGGGGCTCAGGCAGCGGTGGTCCGGGGTGAAGGCCAGGAAGACGATGCCCACGTAGATGGGGGCAAAGGCAGCTGAGAGCAGGCACAGGGTCAGGAAGGCTTGCTTCTGGAACCGGCCAAACTCGCTGACCTCCTCCAGAATATCATCCACGGTGGGCATAATGGGGCCAGCACCTCCTTCATCGCTTTGGCCGAACTGCCCTGGCTTCCGGGGCCAGGGTCAATGTTCCACGTGCACTTCTCTGCAATGCTTGTTTGAGAGCACGCTGCTGTCCGAGCATGCTCGACCTGGAAGCCGACCAACTGGAAGCAATCTTTCCCCCCATGCTGCCCGTGTCAGGTGAGGGTGGAAGGCAGGAGGTGACCGGCCACATGGCCCGGCAGGGAAGCAAGTCAACTAGGCGGAGGTTCGAATTCTCTGGAGTCAGGGTTCCCTCCAAGAGAGGAGAGAGCTAGAGGCCGCTGGGTAACCCCCACCCCGGTGGTCTCCGTAGGGCTCTTCCAGAGAGATTACCTGTTCAAACTGTTTATAATCCTGCTAAATCAAAGACAGCAAACCGTAGAGTCTGTATAATCGGGCGACTCATGCTCGCTCGCTGGCCACGAGCTCCGCGTCCCGTTTGCCGCTGAGGCCGTTTGCCGCAGGCCCGCGCCCCGTGGAAAGGGGAGCAGTGAACGAGCACCGGCCAACGCTCGAGACCCAGCCGCCAGCCCGGCCACCCAGCGACTGCCGATGTCGAAAGCCATCAGCCGCCAGTTCAGGGCTCCAGCGTGTGTTCTCGAACCCCTCGCGGAGGCCTTCGCGGGAGGTGCTATCCCCCTCCTCACTGCACAGCTGGCTGGGAAAGCGGAGGCTTAGGGAGCTACCGGCAACTTCCCAAGTTCACACCGTCATTGAACTCGAACCGTTCCGCTCCAGAGCAACCTCCCTTAATTTATTAACCTGCCCTTGGTTCAGCAACTCTCATGTTAGTGCTTTTGCTCACTCACCAGATACCTGCCGAGTCCCTCCACGTTGCAAGCAGTGCCAGGCTCCGGGACACAGAGATGGGGCAGCCTCTACCTCCACGCGGCTCACAGTACAGGGGGGAGAGACTCACAGAGGGACAGCTCAAGCAGAGGGCACGAGGGGAGCCCCCCAAGCTGGCCCGTCGGCCTGCTCTGCACCTTGGAGGTGAGGAAAGGCAGGAAGGATGTGGCAGGCAGGGATGGGAAGGTGGCCACCAATGACCCTGCCTCCTGCTGTTTGCACACTGGGGTGGGCACGGGGCCTGAGACTGGCTTGTCCGCATGAAATACCGCAAACGTGGCCATGCTCTCGTGTGGTTACATCACGTACAGTGTATCGGCCGCCCTGCTGGGCGTCCCTCTCCCCATTGCTGGCTTTGCTGGAGCAAGCGACCTGTGGGGGAATCTTCGTGGCAAGGACGTAGGGCGCCCTGGCTGACAGAGACCCTCGGGCCTACAGTGCAGGGACTGGGTGGGCTCAGAAGTGGATCTGTCCCCAGACAGCAGGGGGTCCAGCTACACTGCGGCCACCCCCCTGCCCCGCAGAAACCGGAGACAAGTGTGTGTCGCCTCCCGCAGCTAGTTTTCTGGAAATGTGGCTACACAGCAATAAACGAGGAGAAATACTGTGGGCTCCCGTGAGCAGCGGGGCCTTGAGAGGCCTGGGGGGGGGGGGGCCTATGCACAGCCCCACTCACCAGGCCTGCGGCTGGCTAACGGCGCTCCACACATGGCCCTCTGGGACCCTGCTTGCTGGGCTGACCTCGGAGGCCAGGGCCTCGGCAGCAGATGCCAGGCTCAAGCAGCTCGTCCCTCAGCCCAGCCGACTGCACGCCCGCCCCGTGGCTGCTCTTGGAGCGGGACAGACGGCAGCCAGTGGTGGCCGGGCCCCTCCAGGCCTCATCCTGTTCCCCCCTTGCACTCCTCACTGTAAGGCAGAGCTGGGAGCCGGCAGTCGGGTCCTTGGCCTCGGCCTCGGCCGCAGAACGGCAGGCAGAGACTCTCACATCCCGCATTTTACCAGGAGGAACCGAGGATGAGCCTGCGGAACCGGCAGCCGGCTACGAACTGAGCATAGCTTTGCTGCAGGCCGCGCCATGGGCTGAACGGGGAAGCAGCCTGTGGTTTCCTGGTTAACTAGTCCTTCAGCCTGGGCACATGGTGGTGGCAGAGCCAAGCTCCCCAAACAAGCCCATTTCCCCATATCCTTACCCCGACAGAGGACAGCCAGCTTTCCAGGACCCCGTGGACTTCACCCAGCATCATCCCCTGATCATCCCCGGGGCAGGCTCCCAGCTGCTGGCTTGTGAAACAACCTGACACCCGGGGCACTGGGTCAAGGCGGCCATCTGGGCACAGGGTGGGACCCCAGGAGCCTCGGCTGGAGCTGCTGAGAGAGGACATCAAAATGCCATCAGACAGGAAATACCTTCTCTGCGCCCCATCTCAGCCCTGGGAGGACACAGACGTTAAGGGCGGGTGTCCCTCCACCTGCACCCATGAGAGGCAGATAGAGTGATGCTCACAGTGCCAAAGGTGCCCTTGTGTTTCTGGACTCTTCTAATTTCCTGGGTGACAGGAGTGTCCTTTGTTCTAATGAGGTGACTCCGGATGGCTCCTGGATGGCTCCTGGTCGTGGGATAGACCAAGCCATGCTTAGAAGCTTGGAACTTTCAGCCCCACCCCCATTCTCTTGAGGAGGAAGGAGGGCTGAAAACGGAGCTAGTGGTCCATCAAACCTACGTGATGAAGCCTCTCTAAGAATCCCAAAAGTGCGGGATCTGGAGAGCTTCCTGGCTGGTGAACACATCCACACTGGGAGGAGGACGCACCCCAGCCCCATGGCGACAGAAGCTCCTGTACTGGGGACCATCCCAGACCTTGCCCTACGTACTTCTCCGTCTGGCTCGTCATCCGCTCCTTCAGTAAACGGTATAAATGCTTCCCTGAGTCCCGTGAGCCGCTCTGGCAAATCAATGGGGACGAGGTCACAGAACCCCGATCTGCATCCAAGTCAGACAGAATTATGGGTCACCTGGGGACCGACGATTTGCAGTTCGCATTTGAAGTGGGGGACAGTCTCGTGGGACCGAGCCCTCAACCTGGGGGGTCTGATGCGATCTCCAAGTAGACAGTGTCAGAATTGAGTTAAATTAGAGGACCCCCGGGTGGTGTTCTGAAGAATTGCTGGGTGTGGGGGAAAATCCCCACAGATCTGGTGACCAGAAGTGAAACGTTCTGGGTGAGTAGCAAGGGAGACACACAGGAGAGGGGAGAACTGGGTTTTCCCTGCACAGGAGGAAAAACGAGTGGCTTTTTGTAACACAAATGTGCTGGCCCCAAATGGGCTGGCTCTCCTCACACCTGACTCCTCTGCTTTGGGAAGCAGCCAGGGAGCAAAGGGCCTGCTTTCAACACACCCTGGGGCCGGGGCAAGGCCCCTCCCCGTCCCCACCTCCCCAGCGGCCTGTCCAGCCAGCCAGGCCTGCCGTGCACTGCTCTTTTCTCCACAGAGAAAGCAACCTGCCTGGCTCTGGGCAAGGGCCCGGCACGCTTTCTCATGCCCGGACCAGGCCACTCCCTGTCCCATCTCCCAGTCCCTGGCTCAGGTGCATGGAGGGGAGGCCGGGGACCTCTCGGGGATCAGAATGACAACTGGGAGAAGCAACAGAGGACAGTAACCGACCACCGTGCCCCCCAACCCCGACCCCGTGGGGCGCCCCTCCTCCCCGCTGCCCTCAGCCCCAGAGCTGTCCCGGGCTGCAGGCCTCCTCACCGGCCCTGGGTTTGCGGGTTCCCTCTACGTGCCGCCAGGAGACGACCACCAAGTCCTCCCCTCACCGCCCTCAACCGCCAGCACCTTCTCCAAAACAGCAGCTTTCTTTCAAGGGCCTTAAGGGATAGTTAAACTGCACTGAGGAGTCTGGAAACGGCCAGAAATGAGGAACCAGCATGGGAGCCATCGAGAGGCTGGGCTGCGCCGTCGAAGGCGTTGCCTTCCTCAGTGACCCAGGCTGTCCTCACACCGCAGGCTCCTCCCCGATGGCAGGGCCCCTCTGGGGACTCTGCTTCCCCCACACCAAACCGCTGACGCGGGAGGCGGCCGGCAGGATGCTGCGCCCCGGGCCTCAGCCAGAGGGCCGGACGGAGGAGACTTCTGCCTCCACCTTCCCTCTCCAGGTGCCGGGACCATCCTGACCCAGTGGCCTGGGGGTGCCTGCCGTGCCCACGACGATCTTCTTGTCCCCATCTGTCCCACACACATATAAAGTGGGAGCCACACAGCATACTCCTTACCCTCCCCACCTCCAGAGCTCCGAGGGCCGTGTGCTCGCCGGCATCACGGTTGGGGCCAGAGGTCCCCGGGAGCACGGAGCAGTCAGCACGGGAGACTGGGGTTAGAGCCAAGGCCATCTCCCGGGCTCACTTCTGTTCCCAACTGGATGCCAGCGTCCAAGTCCCGGTAGCCGGGACCTGCGTCCTCAAGATCTCAGGGTCCACGCCCGGCCCGCGAGAACCCGCTCGCTCTCGGCGACCCACCCACCCTGTCCCCACAAAGGAACCCACAAAACCACCTGTGCCTTCCCTCATTCATCCTCCGCCAGGCACAGAGGCATCACAGGTCACGGGGTGGGGGGGGGTGGCCTAGATGCGGGCCCCGGGCACAGCCATGGCTCCTCCTGGGTCTGATGGCTGCCTGGCCCCTCTAGGAGCGCGACTGGGGCCTCTGATCCCTGGATTACGTAACAAAGCCCCACGGGCTGGGAGGCTTACATCGCAGGAATGTATTGTGTCACAGTGTTGAAGGCCACGACTCCACAAGCAAGGTGTGGGCAGTGTTGGTTCCTTCCCAGGGCCGTGAGGGGAGGGTGTGTTCCAGGCCTCTCACGCTGGCTTGGGGAACGCCGCCTTCTCTCTGTGCACATCTGTCTCTGTCCAAATTTTCCCTTTTCGTAAGGACCCTGGTCCTAGTGGATTAGGGCCCACCGCCTGACCTCACTTTAACTTGGTGGCTTCTGTAAAGACCCTCTCACTGAATATAAGGTCACCTGCTGAGGTGCTAGGGGTGCTAGCACTTCATCTATGAACTTGGGCGGACACGATTCAACCCCTAACAATGTCGACTCGCCAGCACTCATGCGTGGAGAATAGGAGGGCATTCCAGTGCAGAGCCCTATCAATGTCAGTGCCATGGTCAGCATCTTGGGGATTGGACCCAAAGTGGGGAGGGGTGTTGTGGGGGGGGGGCACAAATGGCAGGGGGG